TTAGAATTTGGTGAGAGAACTTCTTGGCATGCACAGTAGATATGCCTCAAGCAGGCTAACCGCGGCCAAGTATTCTGTGGATGAGAAGAGTATTATGAAGCATTACAGTAAGAGCAAAAACAGGTATACTGCAATAGAATTTTAATATGATGAGGAAAGAGAATGTTTGCCACCAGATTTAGCCATGAAACAATTTTTTTTATCTTTTTTACTTCTCTCTGTATCATATTAACTTTATACATCTAATAGATTCTTCTTTCAAAATAGCGCACATCTAAATTTTAATTTAGTCAACAATCAACTGCGTAAGTTATAGGAAATTCCAGGAAATACCTCAGCAAAAAAAAAAAAAAAAAAAAAGTTTAGATATATCATCTAATCATGAGGTGGAGGTAATGCAAAAATTGTGTACTCATATTGAGAAAACCTTATTTTATTTACCATCATTTGTACAATATTCAAATGCATTCTTGATTTAGGCCTTATAAATCACAAGCTTTGTTCCTCACAAAAAATTATTGAAAATTATCCTCAGTCCATGGGGCTGTCTCAGTTAAGATATGTATTGTATTTTTGTTCAGAATCACCTTTGAACATCTTTGAACATCAAAACATGAAATATTTACTAGAAAATTTAAATGGAAAATTGAAAACCAAACAGCGGTAACACTAAAGAATATAACAAATTTCCGTTAACTAAACCAACACTGAAAGGGTAAACGATACAAAAAATAACACAGGGAAAAGAGCCTCAAAATGTTCATGCCTTCTCCTATTCTTCTCTTTGCAGTTTTCTTTACAAGCTATAAATAAAACTTCCACATTTCCTCAAAGTTTTATCTTATGCACACTCAAACCATTTGAGCCTACACCACACAATTATGAAACAGTCGCTAATCTAACTACTTGCCTACTTCTCTTCTTAACTCTCTTCTGTTGACTTATACATCAATCTCTCTCTTTTCTCATCTTCTCTCTCTCCTTGCTCTGTCTCTCTCCTCTCTCTCTCTCTCTCCTCTCTCCTCTCTCTCTCTCTCGTTCTCTGTCTCTTCTCTTGTCTCTGTCTCTCTCCCTTCTGCTACATCTCTCTCTCCTCTCTCTCTCTCTCCTCTCTCTCCTCTCGTTCTCTTCTCTGCTCCATTACTTCTCACAATACTTCCTACCTCTACTCTCGTCAAAGTCTTATGTGCTAGTCATAAAATCCCTCTCAGCCTTCTATTTATCACCCATACACCATCTCTTCTCTCACGCTTTCATATAGTGTGTCACACTCCTCTATACTCACCACTTTAATAGAGAAGAAGAACTGTGAGACATTAAGAGAGTTTGGTAATAGTTTCTGGTTAGCTTTGGATTCCCATACTTACAGAACATAAGACTCACAAGAGACCAGCAAAGAGCCAAATAGATAAGAAGGTGGTGAGAGAAAAATAAGAATAGAAATAAACAAGAGATAATAGACGTGGAAATAAGAGAGTGAGCTTCATCCTAAATTAACAGAATCCTAATAGTTTCTTCTAGGTCTGCCGATTGTCATGTGAAGCATTGTTGAAAGAAAGCATGTTGTAACCCGACCCCAGTGAGAGGCAGGTAGGAAGGAGTACACACCACCACCCACACGTATATATATGATACTATATGGTATATATATATGTGTATTTATAATGAACTTTTATTTATGATTTTTTATTACACCAATACTGAATTCTTAACATCTATATATACACTGACTTATAAAATGAGTGTGTGACATTATTATGTGATGATAATTCATGACTTCAATGCTCAATTAATGTCTCTCTCTCTCTTATATGATGTGTGGAGTGAGTGAGCTAATATAAGGCTCATATAAATATATAGTAGTGTGGAGAGAGAGAGTAGATGTGTTCATTTTTTTCTTTCAATAATTCAATATCCTTGAAAGATGATAATAAATTGATCATCATAATATATATTAAATTATTAATATATATATTATATAATATTAATATATATATTATATTATATATTAATATATATATATATATATATATCATTATGTATAGTATATATGTATATATATAATTATTAATATATATTTATTATTATATATATGTATATTATTATATATATATATTATATATAATATTATTTATATCTATATTAATATATATATTATATATATATATATAATTATATATATATTATTAATATGTATATATATTATATTTATATATGTATTATATATATATATATATATTATATAATTATATTATACTATTAATATATTATGTATATATATATTATATATACATATTATATATATATATATATATATATATATATATATATATACTATATATATATATATATATATATATATATAATATATACTAGTAATAATATATATATATATATAATATAATATAATATAATATTATGTATTATAAAGTGTTACAACTACTAAAACAAATACTTTTTTCACTAAAACCACTACTACTATGATTAATATAGATAATGAAAGATAATGATTGATGATAATGTATGGTTAAGAATAAAGAAAATTATGTGGATGAATAATTGACAATAATGAAGATGTAGTGTGTGTATTAATATGGTGAGTATCTGGTTATAATTGATTATTAAATATATAAGTATAATTAAAAAATGTCAAGTGAACAATGGAAAAATCATTATTTAAATAACTAACATTATATAAGCATACATACCATACATTACATATATATGATATATATGGTTTATAATAATAGATATCTTAATGATATCTATATGTGATACTATATATGGATCCATCTCTCTCTCATCTCGTCTTACTCTCTCATCTACTTCTCTGCTCTCTCTCTCTTTCTTCTTATAGTAATTAGGTTGAATGATTACTTGATTAGTATTAGTAATGATTATAAAAATCACAAGAAATAATAATAAATCATAAAGTCATATAGATAGAAACTAATGTGACAAATAGTATATAGAAAACATGTAAAAATAATTAGAAGAAGAAGGTGATATATATATATAAGTTAACAAAATATAATATAGTAATGATAATAGTGATAAAAGACAAAACACCACAACAAATACACACACACACACACAACACGACACAACACACAAGGATCACACAGCATCACACACCACACACAAGCACACATAGCGACACAACACACACTCTAACACACACGACAAAACAACAACAACACACACACAACACAACACACACACACACACACACGACCATATTATAGGTATAAGATAAACTCATATATATGTATAATCTAACTTCTCATTTTGTAACATAAAAAATAAAAGGTGATTAAATAAGTAGTAAGTGGATGTGTGTGTGTAAGAAAGAAAAAAATGTAATTAGTTTGGCAAAACAAAAGAAAATAATCAGTGCTTAAATGAACTTTACCATGGTTATGTGTGTTTGTGTGTGCTCTTGCGTGTGAATGATTAACGTTCGTAATAATTTGTCTCCCAAGGAATAAAGCTGCAGGTGTGTGTGTGCTGATCGAACCACTGGTAGATAAGTCCATAGTTTGGATCCCTTAAGCCACTACTACAAGTAAAAGTTTCTGGATAAATTTGAGCAAAATAGATGCGTGATTGGTATAGTGTTCAGTGTGTCGCTAAATGTTGTAACTTCATGGATGAGCAGTGCGATATCTCAGTTATATATAGAAGGCCTTGAGATGAAAGGACAAGGAAAGTGGGAAATCTGATAAGACGTGATAATTGAGATTAAGATTTGTTTCTAGAGAGGTGTTATGAGTTAGGCAGAGTATCTCGTCGAGTTCAGATCTCGTATGGGGACACACAAGCTTGCTGAGAGAATATAAAAAAATGCATGCACAAAAGACACGAGTTATGCATACACAATCAAGGTTATCATCTGAAATACTATACTAACCACTAACAACTTTTCGATGAACTCTGTACAAAAGTGTTGCTAGCTGCGTTAGGACAGCTGTGAGAAGCCACGCTGGATGAAGAGTATGTAGTTGAGCTAAGAAGGCTATGGCTGCTAGGACACTCGTATATCCGAGCCACGGTAGAAACTGGATGCGACTACTACTTACACTGAACTGTTGGCATAAAAGGCATAAATTTCATTTGAAAAAATACAAATGAACTGATAAATCAACCAACTAAGAAGTGATTCTATTACACAGAGAAGAATTTGGTGAGAGAATTAATAGTGATGCGGCACTTTCAAGTGCCACATCAGAGCATCATCTGATGAGCACATTGAGAATGATGAGCAAAATGATGTAATAATAGGAGGCAAACATGAAAAAAGAAGATTCTAATACACATTTACAAATACTATACAGTTAAACAGTATATATGTTAACAGTTGCTGCAGAACAAATTAACTGCATAAAGAGGCTTGTCACATATACACCCAAGCCTTGCTCTCCCATCTTTCATAAGTTTATTGTAAAATTGTCATTTTCCTTAATTTGTACCATCACATGATTTCTATTGGATAGTCTTCTCTATAGGCAGATGTGAGAGAGGAACTTTACACAGATATCTGGCACTATCTAAAAAAAAATTATGTAGTCAATTCTCCTTTTTAGAACCAAAAATCTTTAAATAATTCAGAAAAGTAAATAGATTTTTACAACAAAATAGATATTGCTTGTTTCATTAAAAGTATGTATAACTACATATGCCTGGGCAAACAGTATCACTTGTAGTATCTCAATCTCAATCTTAATATCAAAGGTAATGCAGAGGGTGCTGGTAAGTGCACATCACACACATTTACGGTTGGTTGCTTGGGGTGGGGGAAAGGATTGAAGTAAAAGTGGCACTGTTGTTTATGAAGGTGCTTGTAGCGCAGTGCATTTGTTCAGTTTGTCCGTAGCCTGTTTGGGGTAGCCTGTTCCAGTTGTATATGGTATGAGGGAAGAAAGAGTGCTTGTAACAATCGTTTTTGGTGTGGTATGTAACAAATTTACTAGGTGTAGGCTTGCAATTGTGTGCAATAAACCTGGCAGACATAGTGTTGACCTGTTCCAGCTTCTCTTTGTGTACAGCTTCCATAAAGCTGTATAGTACTTGAGAGTTGGGCATAAAAGTGTGTTGTAAGCTATGTATTTGATGTCTGGTGCATAGTGTTGGGTATGATCCTCCTCAGTAAACTCAATGTTTTGTTTACCTTGTTTGTGAATGAGTCAATGTGAGTGTTAAACGTAAGATTGCTAGTGAGGTGTACCTCCGGGTGTTTATAGGATGTCAGGGTCAGAAGATGCAGCATCAAGCAGAACATGTTGGTTGTACATTGCCAAACATATATATAATTTTATTTTGATTTACACCCAAGAGAAAAATGTAAATATTCAGAAGAGTACATTGATGTATTAGCAAAGTTTTTAAAAAATTTCCAATCAATTTATATTTGCTTTTACCACTACAGCATAAGATCTTAGTGTATTTACATGTAATCAAGCCCATCCAGGAAAGTAGGCCTATGGCATGTGAATATCAATATTTTCCCCCTAAAATTTTCCTTCGCTTCCCAAAAATCTAACTGACATGTGCCAGACACAGACTCTTGGGAGGAGTAGCAAGTTGGTAAAATGTAAAAAATATAAGTAAAATTTTTTACAAGACCCTGGAAGTATCTGACCAACTGCAGATTTGCATGGCAAGAAAATAGCATATACTAAAAAATATTAAAGTTTTGTAATAAATTTCATTCTTTAGTTGTATAAGCATAGTCCAATGATTCTTTGTGTTTAACGTGTTAACATACGTTTCCACTGACAGAAAACTTGTCCTTGCTCACTGATCGTCTCGAAGCCTTCTTTCTTCTTCCATCTGATTCCCCATACATAACACATATAATCTTCCCCCACTCTAATCCTCTCCTATATATTATAAACATCATTTACTACTCATATCCCCAACACCTCCAACCCCCACCCTCACCACCCCAGACAAACCTTCCACCCTAAAAAAATAACAAAAAAAAAATCCCACCTTGATAACCTTTCTTCGATCGAACAACCACCTCCTCACGAAGCAAAAAAACCCGAAGCTCTCGAGCTTAGTACACAGATAAATACCGACCCGTACGTTACTACGGCACTCAATTCTGAGTGTTGCTACGAGATAAATTATGCCACAATATTGTTAATAAGAGTAGCTGTGGAGGAGTAAAAGATGGTCAAGAGTATCTGTAAGTTCCATTCCAGCGACACTACTTGGAACAAAGAGACGCTTAAGAAAGCTGCATTAGTCTAATTTCCCACATGCTTCATAGATGGACATAATAATTCAGATAGGATAAAAAGAACTACCTCACGAGCAATCAATATGAAATTGCTGTAATAAGGGGTCGGATGATGGTAACATACCTCCACTATGTTCGCTGCCGTTGCCAGATGAGCCCTATAATCCAGCTTCATGGACCTAGTAACAGATATTTGTGTCGGATATATATATTAAATGTGTATATAAAGTGGTTATTCATATCATAGTACAAACTCAAATAAGAATAAAAGAGTGTATTCAATTAGCCATTAGCGGTGCGAAAGGCTACACGCAGTGAGTTCTAAAGAAATACTGATGGGGTTAGCCAATAGAAATGAACCCCTATCCATGTTTGACAAATGTAGAAAAGATATGAATGAGACTGGATATCTTCACAACCACAAGAGATGTATATTGACCGGGGGTATTACCAATTACAGAGATGGGTTGAGCGTGGGTATTTCTATTGAAGAACAATAATGTAGAACCGGGGGTCAATACGAGAATCTCTATGTATTGTAAAAGATATCACAGTGAGACAATAACATATCAACAGTTAGTTCGGTACATTATACCGGTAGGAGAAGCAAATAGTATAGCTCAGATCACGAGTACAAGCCAGCTAGTCACGGTGTAATATGAGCTGGCGTCGAATTCGGAGTATACATCACAGGAGTGGTTTAGCATTATACGGCCTGTCTCACCTCCAATCAACCATTCCAGAGAGTGGGTAGGTGGTGGGCGACACCCTAATATTGCCATATGCGAAAAAAGAAAACGATTGTCACTGAGGGGGATCACATCGCCCACATAAATTGAATTTGATGATTCAACAAGAGGTGATTCCATATGTGAACGAACAGAAGGGAGCCGTGCCCCCCGTGCACAATCTAAAGAGATTAGGCCCCCGAGATGTGCGCACGCCCAGCGCAGAGAGGATTGACACGTGTAAATAGTATCAATATATAATATTATCATTAGTGATGATTAATATTATAATAATATCGAAGAGTAAGTTAAGACATATAAAATAATAATAATATCATTTAAACACAAGACAAGATACGAACATGAATCAAATGTATACAGCATAATACAGATAAGGTACAGACAGTGGGGGAACCGCTGTGCTAGTCCCTTTGATTTTTTGTTTTCTTTTGGACGAGCCCCCCCAGAGAATTGGAATTGCTAAATCCGTTTCTCACTCCCCTGTGCCCATCCATCCTAGCGTCACGCATTATATTGATCTCTTAAGATATCGGCCCCGTGGAATTCTGAGAGTGTCATATATGTTTTTGGTGCTCATTTTACTTTTTCCTTATCTGTTGTTTTAGAATGCATGGTTCATATATCCATTTTTCTTTCTCCTCTTTATTTATATGTTATGAATAATTCTGACAGAGATTTGCGTGCAGAAATTAACATATCTCTGGAATTGGCTTTGAATATTTCTGATAATAAGGTTTATTAGTCGTCTTTTGCTTCAGTGAGTTATTCTCCCGGGGAATTGTACCTTTATATCTTTCTCTGCCTATTCCTAAGCTAATCTTGTCTTTTGGTCTATTACTCCTATAGTACAGTTTCCAAGCTGATTGTTTTCTGTAAGATATAATGTGTCGAATTTATTAAATGAACAATAGTGTTATAGAATGGGGACTAGTACTCAATGGTGGTGTCAAGATATCTCTCTATTATATGTTTTGTATTTTTTATGCTTAAATGTACAATAAACATCACTAGAAGTAATCAGAACCTCTAGTCGATGATATAAACTCTTATTCTCCGTATGGCTCCTCTACCTAATTTTGGCACCTGTGACACCACGTGTGTGAGAAAACTAGTCTAAAAACATGATGTTAAACTCCCTGCATGCCAACCAAAATATGTCTGCTTAAACAATGCCGATTGCAGCACCGCCCAACACGACTGTGACATCACATTCGATGCGGCACACAGCACTACACACCCACACTCACAGCACGAACTACACTAACAACGAAACGACACACAACACACACAACCGACGACAAAACAAACAACACCACACAATAACAACACACGAGGAAGCAACATGACACCACAACAACACACACACTAAATATAGTCTAGTATGCCTATTTATGATGTAGAAACTTATATGGTCATTTATAAATATATATATTTGTTATATGTACCATAATTTTTTGTATACAAGATAGTCCAATGCTCACTTATAATTTGTATTAATTGTGATGAGTTGCCTACTTCGCACTTGCGCATTGTCTGGAAGTCCCGCTCAACTGGTCATCAGCAATAGTATTGCTCACTTGATAATGATGATAAGAATGAGCTTATGATACGCAGGATACTAGTTGTTTAGTGATTGGCACAATGTCAATTATATTATGACAAGATGTTGGTGACTGATGATATCGACTGATGATGATGATTCCCACTAATATTCAAAACTACTCACTATAAACATATAATATTTATACTCTTGAATGTGGTACAGATGCCTATGATACAATAGAATACGTGTTGTTTTGATAACCACATGATATAGATATATAGTGCTCTGACTACTCTGTTATATATGGCTTATTAACGTGTTATAGGTAACTTATTTCTAATGAAGATAAGTAATTATAGTGATGGCGTATAGAAGAAACTTGGCAGCAGCTTCCACTACCCCTTTAAAATGTAAATAAAAATATAAGACCAAAACTAGAGGACTTTAATAGTACACATCAGATCTTGTGAAAACATTAACAATAAAGATTGGGAATCATTTGTATCAAAGAATTAATGAAACGAAGGAACGATGACTAGGTAACACCGA